AGTACGCCTTTTACTTAGGGCAATCTGACAAAACAATAAATAGATAAAATAAAAACAGGTTGTAACCATGGGATTAGGTTGATGTCATCCTGGGGAAGTAAAATAATCTACTGGCTCGCCCTTACTCACAGAAACCGTACCTAAACATGTAATAAGTCCTTACCTTGCCTGCTTTCGCCTGGATCAAAATTTCGAGCAATGAAGACTTAACAAGATATCAGAAAACTCGCTGCTGGTGTGTTTACATAGTCCAACTCAAACACGGAATTAAGAGTTGTTTGGACCTGAGCCATAGGGATTTCGAATTCATCCAGACACACTTCAGTGTCTCAATCCAACAGTGTGAAAATGAGGCGACCAGTTCTGATGTCATTTATAGAATACCTCATCACTGTTTAACGCCAGAAATAACTAACAGCATCTTCTCATTTCCCGAATATGATACAATTGACCACAACTTAAAGGAAAGTTCTTTAAACTCTGCCGTATCGGCCACAACTACAGTTTCACGACCGTTTTATGTACAAGCAAACACATGCAGCATTCACTCCTTCATATGGTATTTGAAAACTTTCTTCAATTTTGACCAAGACAGCGTTGGAACATGCACTAAACGCAAATGTTACGCGCAGCGCGACACCTAGTCGTCTGTAGCGCAGCAAACACGCGTGTCCTGCACGCGCCATGATACATTGCTTCAACGAATTAGAAACTGATGTTCAGGTTCACACTGTTTTACTGTCCGTGAGGGACTGGAAAAAGTACTTTACTGAGCCCCGTGTTTTTCTCACCTTCCTAATATGTCCTTCCAACTTTTTTCATCAAAGCATTTTCCGTGTCTCAGCATTAAATAAGCAAGAACGACTGTTTAGCTCAATGGTGTTTCCACGATTGCTTTGATTTCTTTGTAACTCTGACAAGAGAGATGATTTAAGTCCTACTTCTTAAATTACGAAATGCTCCAAAACTTATTATTTCAAAAACCATTGTAAAACAGATTCCACGTGTTCTCTCATATTCGTGAATGTTCACATTTGCACGTTGATCAATAAACCGGTTCACGGTTTTCTGGCATTTTAAAAGGCGAACAACCATGCCAGGAAGTACATGAAGTCATTTGACGGGGAATCCGTGTCAAATAACTTACGTAAAATTTTATTTCTGAAAACGATGCAGAGTCTGTAGAGCTTGCAATACCTGGAAAAAATATTTCACTGAGCAAATTTCAGGGGGGTAGACCCCTAAATTTTTGGTGCGCGGGCCCGCTGGAAACTCTCACCCTCTTTCCAAGATGAAAATATGATTTTCCACGGGTGTTGCTCGACACTGATAAGCCAAAACTCGATTGGTTCATTCAGACTTTTCTCAGATGACCCAGAATTGACTTACGTTTGCGTAAACATTTCAGGAGAGCGAATTTCGCGCTGCCACTTTGAAAGACGGAGAAGACCCCGGGGCCGGCGTTGTAGAAGACTTTTAAAATATCCATCATCCTTTAAAGCGCACTTTCAACGTCAAGAGAAATTAATACACGAAATAGTTTCTTCTTAAAATCATGCCCAATTCCAGAAAAACTGTACAATACTAATCCTATTTCAGCCAAAAGCGGCTCCAATTCATGCCCTCTGTACAAACTAAAAAGCTCTGTAGAGAAGTTCTCCCTACCCATCCTGGGTCTAACCGTCACCGAGGAATGTTGTGGGGGATCTACTTCACCCTGGGGCGGATCTAGGGGGGCTCGGGGGGTTCCGTCGAACGCCCTAAAGTAAACAAATCAGACATAAACACGCTGAATTGGCCTCAGAATGCAAAAACTCCCATTTCCGAGGACCTCAATTTTAAAAATTT